GAAGAGATGAAGGGATTAACCATTTTCGACCACAGCTACCTCTGTTTAATCACGTGTTAGGCAAGGAGAGAAAGACAATATATAACGAGAAATTCCATCGATTTAGCTGCTTAATACGTTTATTATCCATGGCATGCTACCATCTTCGTTGAGGTGTCCACCGAACTAGGACGAGACTGAAAAAGAGTCGGAGTTGATCAAGGAAAACGGTGGGTGAAGTCATTAGGATGCGAAAAATAATTGGTTGTAAACTATCGGTGACAAGACTTTTAACTGCTTTTTCATCGGGCGAATTTATTGACCTCACCTAATTCATATTCTCACCTTCCATTTGCCGTCATCGGGGTTTCACTGCATTTATTTTTCTACTTTTATGTTTTCCCGAAGTGTTGCAGGCTGAAGGGATGTACTTTTGCGCGAAATTCCACGTTGACAAGCCAGCTAGTCAGCTACGAAAATTTTAGGCCACTCCATATCATCGCTATGGTAAGGTCTGTTGGGATCACTTCCGTTTGTCTGTCTGTCTGGATTCAACATAGAACTTGGCACTTGGGATCACTTGCCGTGCATTGAGCAGTCCGGATAAGACTTCAGAGATTTTCTGAAGTTTACTAAGCTTTGACTGAGAGCTGTCAACTCTCTTCATCTCTCTTACTAGAGGAGACTGATACCGTTATTACTATCATGCTTCGTTATCGGTCCAATGAAATCGCCCAATAAATACCTGACGTCTTCATCAATAGGCTGGGTTTTTACTGATCCTCGTTCTGTGCTTCCACTATAATCACATGCACGGGCTCTTTCCTGGTCAGAGCTCTCTAGGTATACCAAAGTACGACAGAAATTTTGATATTTCTTTCTTTATTGTCGACTTCATGGCGAAAATTGTATGCTTCTCTTACGAGTTGACTTCAGTTTGTTTAGACAAACGGGTGGTCGTCCATAGAGGAGTGTGTTATTGGCAGGCATAGAACTCTAACTTTCCCTATTTGTGTATTAAAACTGATTGGTGTCGTGACTATGAGTGTTTCAGTCCTTGTGGCACAAATTTGACAGATTCTGAGAGGAACTCATCCTGTACTTCGAATCGCAGTCCATAAGTACGAAAAGACATCAATATCTTTTGTATCTACTGAAAAATCATTTAGGTAGACAGCAGAAAAACTACTGGAACACACAAGGGCAATGAGTTTCCAACTGTAGAGATTTTATTACCATACATGCACCCAATGAGTCTACAAGAAGTGGCTAAAGAATCTCTTGAAACTAGTGGAGTAGATTTTTAAGGTTCACCGTTTTCATTAGTTTATGTGAACGAATAACCATCCTTTAGTTTTTTTTCGCTTGTCTTAAAATCGCAGTAAGTATTCATATTCCTAGTTGTCAAGATTTTAGCTTGTAGAGTGTTCTGTTCTGATTTGCAAAGAATGGTTTTAGACAGATAATGTTTTAAGATTACTGTTACTAGTCTTCTTATTTTGGACAGCGAATACAACTTACTTAAATGGCGTAATGTGTTTCGTTTTTGTATTGAGATATAAAGCCTATGGTATCTGTGTGTCAAAGAATTTCCAAAAGAAATGTTGAGCTGTGAGTGATGTGAATTTATAACAGGTCACTGAATATCTTGTATTACTAATTTATATAAACTGTGTTGCCTATAGGGTATTCTCTCATCAGCTATGCACACTTTTTTGTCTTTCAACCCTGGATATTTGTTAGACAAATTGTAGGCTTCATTGTGAGTGTCGATTCAGAGAACATTAAGGCAGTACATACGAACATTGGTAGTTGTACATGCCAAGGTATCGGATTATTATTATTATTATTATTACTAAAACAGAAAATTCGTACATTATGGCACTATGAGATGCGCCACACAAACCTTTGTAGTTTGTGCGGGACTGGGGAACTAACTGGAAGCCCAAACCGAAGCAAGTGGCTGTCTTAAGGGGTCTTCCCTTGAGACTTTGACTTGAAGTCTCTTCCATAAGGCAGTAGAACAACGTCAGAGGTTAAGTTCCTGAGGTTCCCAATGACCAGAACTACCCTTTTGGAATCTAGGACGTAAATACACCATAGGTTTGTAGTTGAGGGTTTTCCACCTCCCCTACCTAGACTTACATTTCTTCCAGTGTGGTTGTAAGTGTCAGACATTCGTCTTCAGCCTTCCACTTTTGTGATGAATACCTCTTCTGCGTGAAGGCGGTGAATAAGACTCACCTGACTGAAGCTATGAATGCGTGGCCACATGGGAGGATATTTTGAGAAGAAGACTGAAGTCTAGCTATCTTTGGACTTACGCGATCGTTTATGGGGGTGGCTGTTTTGGATAAATAGTATGTGGTGTTCAAAAGTGGTTTATTTATACACTTGATTGGTGGTGAAGAACATCATGAACTCTCATAATCCTTGTTTAAACTCTCTTTTGAGTAATATATGCAGAAAAAAGTAAGTAAATCTGATCCCGGTTATGTTCGAGTCAAAGAGATTGGAAGAAAAGACAGTTGCAGCGAAGAAAATTTTCTTTTCGACGAAGTCATCATAGGCCGTACATTCGTGTATTTATATCAAATGGATGGGAAAGTTCCAGAATAATATCCGGTCAAGGGTCAAATTAATAAAATTAAAATTGGGAATTAGAATGCCATAATAAACAGGGGATGAAAAACAAACAAAGTAGCATTAAAATAACTAAGAAGACTGACTTGTGCAATTAGGGTTAGAAATGTAGAAATAACAAAATAGACAGGATGTTTGGATAAAAACTAATGTGATGAATAATTGTTTATGCAATCAGGATTAAATATGTAGAAATAGTAAAATGACAAAAAAACTCTAAGTTCTGGTATGAAAATATGGTAGTGTAAGAAAAAATTAAATAACATGAATAAACAGGAAGTTTAGATAAGAAAGGCGATGGGATGGTGATTACTAAAAATTACCTGTTTATGATGGCCATGGCAAGGACAGGGGTTGGACGTATTTCTTTTGTATACAAAGCGTGGGTTTGAGCTTTTGTATAGCTAGCATTTCATTTTTGGACTTGAATTTACGTGTGGTTTTCAGTAGTACAGCAGTAATAGTATAAATTCGAAGGTATATCAATAATAATTTATTGTGACCTTAAAAATACATAATCCAAGCTGTTAATTATGCGAAGAAAATAATCCCAACTTAAAAATCCAACAGTCACACTCGTCGGTGTTTCGCAAAAAAGACTGAATTTCAGCATAGAACATGGTACAGAAGAGAAGCAGTTCATATCATTCCCGTGTTAAGTGGCATAATAAAGTGAGCAATATTGAGGTTAGGCATCGATCAAGTGCTAGGTAAGGAAAGAAAGCCAATCGATGAGGTTGTGAAACAGTTGTATCGATTGAGATGGTTAGGACATGTATTTCGCATACCTGGTCATCACCTTCCTCGACATCAGGCAATGTTAGCTGACATAGGATTGGTCAAGTTGGAAAAGGGCCAGCGGTGGTCAAACCAACACATGGCTTCATCAATCAATGAGATCCGAAGCAGTTCATTTAAGCCACATAGGAAGGTGTAGACTGCCTGACTGGTTAGGGTATTCGGGATGGTAAAAACCATTGAAGGCTATAGCTACTATAGCTCAAAGTCCTCGTTGTTAATGGATGGTGCAGATGCATTCACTCACTCTTTGTGATTTGTCATATCTAATAAAACTATTGTTCTTCCATATTACTATTCTTTTTGCCTCATCTCTGTCTATTACCTCTCTTTACTCTCTTCTCTTCCTTTGTGGCAACTGGAATTGCTGCATATCAGCGCAAAACTCTATATCGAAACCAGTCAGTCAGTTCATGTTACTACACTTCGTGAAGTTATAATGACAAAGAGGAGAGAGGAAAACGAAATTCAGAAAAACAGTAATCACTAGAAATGTGTGGCAAAAAGAATGGTAACGTGAAAATCAAACATGATAGTTTAATGAATGTCGGAAATCATAAACAGTGAATGCATCCACATCATTTGGAACAATTTTAAGCCATGTCATTAATATCCTTCAGCCATTGGCTCTTAGCATCTACAGGACCCCAATAAGGCAATCGACAGCTATTTATGTGGTTGGCTTGAAACAACAACTTGAGACCTTGTTGACTGATAGCAGGTTGTGTTTTGACCACCCCTGACTCTTTCCCAGAGTGTAGCGACTTGAACTGTCGCACATTGGTGCAAAGTTCTATGTCGAAAACAGACAGACAGCTCTTTCCCAACCGAACCGTATGTTAGCTAACATTGCTTATCGAGTGAGGTGATGGCTAGGCATGCTCAGCACATGTTAAAAGACGTCATGCTGTTTAAATCCATGACATAAACTATACCGTTTTCAGCAGATATTATGCTTGTGTGACTGCTAAACTCAATAATATTGGTGAACGGCAGCATAATATTTATGTGTAGTTACCTTACATCATAATTTATTGCTAGTAAACTAACCAGGCATAATTTACTTTTATAATCGTTACTATTACTGTTGTTCCCTTAAGTTCCGAGGGAAACATAAGGGCTTCAACAACACATTTCCACTTTGCCCTATTTTCTTCTGTCCATGATTGCCCATAATCCCTCATCTCCTGCTCACCTGATCTCTTCCATGTCAGGCTTTGACCACCAACACCCAACTCTTCCTTCACTATTCAGGTTCCACCCGAGGAGATGACTAGCTCTCATGATGTCATTCTACAGTCTCCTCAGCGGCGTGTATCCGATCCATTCCCATTTTCTCCTACATATTTTTTGAATGATAGGTTCTTGGTTGGTTTATTTTCCAGAGTTTCTTGTTGCTAATTCTTCCACGCTGACCACGCTGATCTTCAATATGCAGCCAGATAAGGCAGGCTGTTGACAAAAGTCTTCAATGAGAACCTGCTGGAAATGCTTTTCTTGACTCTGGCGCTAAGTTACTCATCCACTACATTTTGAGTTCGGTCTAACATTTTTCATCTTTTATTGCTTACAATTTCTAGAATTTTCAGAATTGAGTATTTCTGAAGACAAGGAGAATATTGGAGAAACATCACCATCACCACCACCACGTAGCATGAAGAAATTTAGTCAACGAAGTAAGATTACTGTACCACTTTTTTTAAAATTTTCCAAACAGTTTTTTTTACTGTTGAGTTGAGAGATGGCTATATGCGTTTTTAAAAGCACAAAGATCTGATGAATGGAAATTCCAGTCAGTAATTTAGCCTACATGCTCTTTACTTATTTTGTGGAAGCTTATGCTACTACCCAGTTACCAAGAGTGAATTAGGTGGAACGCGACTCAAACATGGACTCAGTGTCTGAAAGTCGGTAGTTGGCTATATGAAAATGCGAAGACGTTCAACGAAGAGACTTTTCGACGGCGAATCCATTCACATAGCTGTACAATCGCATTTATATATAACTATTTCTGTGTGTGTGTGTGTGTACATGAGGTTTGTCAGGTTTAGATAAATTAGGTAATACAAAAATGATCTAATATAGGAACAAGGTTAATTAGAGAGCAACTAAAGTACGATTGAGCTAGTAAGTTAGATGACTAAGATGTTTCAACTTGGGTCAGGATAGCAACAGAGGTAATTAGAGGTAGAGACTAAGTAGAGGTGGGGTAGATAATAATGCCTTTTTTTATTCCTTCACGTTCCCCAGTGGAACATAGGGCTTCAAGCTAGTGGCAGCCTTTAGTTTTACAGAATGGGGTTGCTAGCCCCATGCCCAACCTTTCCCCTTTACCAGCATTATTTCTGGCTTAGAGAGGTAAAGGAGTGCATCAGCCGGAGATCGAACCCCGGACCATGTGCATGGTCGGGGAGCTTCCTAACCGCTATGCCATCGACGCATAATGCCATTTAAATCAGGACTAAAGTTGAGAAAGTGAATTGAATCACGTAACGCAAATGACTAGAAATTGCGCGTTGGTCAAGTCAGTAACAGTGGTAATGAGGTGTAGAAATTAAATCGGGTGGATGTAAGGAACAGGAAAGTTGAAAATGTAAAATGAAATTGTAACCTTCGTTACTGATGAGTCCCGAAATAAGACGAAACAGATATCCACTCCTCCATGGTTTTCAGTGATCTTTCTAAGAATTTAAATTAAATTGAGTGTTGATTAGACGCTACCTACCTACTTAAAGTTCGTGGGTATTGGCACTTCTCGGATGTGCAGTCATTATCTCTGAGGGAATGATGTTACCTCAAGGTTCAAACTCGTATAGCTTAGTTCTGTAGGCGGCGGTGATACTACTAATAACCTATTCACTGACCACACTTCAGAATTAACTGATAGAAGTGTATTGGCACCAAGCGTCTAAACAATATTACATTGGTCAGGCGTTATTGATCAGTCACCAATATGTTCAATTCAGTCTTACAGGAGTTCAATTGCGCTTCGAATACCTTAGTGATTAGATGGTGTGTGCGCTTATATCTCCGATTGGATATTATTTCCATCTAGTTTGCAGACATGCTTTGTTTATACTTCCCAATTAGCAGGAGACCTTAGTTCATGACTCCCCGTTGACTACCTCTAACCAACTGTATGAGTAAATGCATGACACCATATTAATATTGATTGATTGATTGATTGATTGATTGATTGATTAATATGAGTAGTTGGACTATCACCCATACCAAGTAGTAATGCTCGCTAACCAAATCAAAGTTATTTAAACTCATGACAGCCATTTGGCTCATTTGGGGTTGAATTCATCAGCGATATACCCGGTTCGACTCAACTCAGTCGATATCTGCATAGCTTCTTTGGAAAAATTGTAACTACTCGTGTGACGACAGAAGGACAGAGTCAGGTAACAGATCGTTTGTTAAGGAAATCAACACATATTTATATATTTTCATGTACATTATTATAGATTATTTAAGAAAACAAACACAGTCCTCTGATTGGTTGTTTCTCACAGAAAGTTAACCTTGCATCTCTTTGTGACTGTTTCTTGAATGTCAGATCATCTATATGTTAACTGTATCCGCCTACGCAAAGCCTTGGGGACATCAACATTGATGTAAATTACTGTCCACCAATTTTGACTAACAGCCAGCTCTAACTACACTCATTTCAACCAGTAGCATATACCATATTGTAACACTTTCTTAATCTAGGGATAAATATTCACGAGTTGATCACGGATTGATATCAGTTACAGAACCATTGAAAACTCTGACTGATATCAATCTGTGATGAACTCGTAAAAAACATAACTAACCCTTACAAACCAAACTATAGAAAATTAATCTGATGCTCGCTAGTGACTTGCTACAGGTTGGAGTTTCCTGAGTTCTAGTGAGAAGTCGTGACCAGTGAGGTCCAATTAGATGTCACGTGTGTGGATGGATGTCCCACCAATAACAATGGTTGGAGTCGCGCTAAATCTCAAATTGATAGAAGTTAGAATTCATGAGTCATTGAACCGGGTTCCAGTGGCTGAATGGTATGCGTACCAGCTTGCCTTGTAACCGGAAGGTCCTGGGTTCGAATCCCAATGGGTGCGTACTGCCGATGATTCCCAAACTAGGATGAAACAGCAGCTGTCCAGTACTCCTTGGTTTTCAATGGTTCTCTAACTGATATCAATCCGTGATCAACTCGTAAAACCATAACTAACCCGTACAAACCAAACTATAGATAAATATTCAATCATCTAATGTACTTGATATTGTCTCTATGGTGTAATCATACATACTTTGTCGTTGTTTTGCTTTTAGAAACGCTGAACACTATAAGTAATAATAAGAAGGAAGCGAAAACACGTCGTGACACTGTAAGTTTTCTATCATTTTACCTATTTTTTAACAATTTAGATAGGTTATTTGAGAAACACCGTAGCTAATAAATTAGTATGTAGAAATATTTTAATTATACTTGAAAGGAACGCCTAGATTTCAGCTAGATTGATCCTCTTTTAACGTATGAGTTGTGCATGGCGGTAGAATTCTAACCCACCACGTATGTTGTCCTTAGTTCGAGCCCCTCACACGAGGTGCTCTCAAACCTCTGTAAGTCGGTGGTAAGTTTGGTAAAGAGCGAAGGTTAGATGTGAGGTTAACAATCTATACTTGGTAAAAAAAAAACACGTCTGATACTGAAACTTCAAAAGCGCAAGCTTGAAGTTCCACACGGAATGCGAAGATATAAAATCATATCATGTCAGTTAAGATGTAAGTAGCCAATTAGCTTCTCTTATCGTCAGATGTCCACAACCACAGTTAGCGAACTGTGGTTATACAGTTGAAAATTTAGTTGACTAAACACTTACCTCGTGTGGACACAAGTGTCAGTGTAACACATGAATGATCACTGAATTATTCCACTACTTGTTATTCTAGCTGATCTTGATCCATATTTCATAAGGGACTCTAAAATCTGACTAACTGGTTTTAACGTAGAACTTTTCACCGGTGTGCAGCAGTTTAAGTTGACACTCTCACTTCATGTGGCACACAAACCAAGAGAAGGCAGTTCGCAGATATTCAAAAGACCGACATCAAACAGAGATATGAGACAAAAAGAATAGTAAAACGAAAGAACAATATTATTCTATTGGATATCGTAAGTCACAAAGGGTGGATATATCTGCGACGTCACTGAGAACGATTTTGAGCCATATCACCAATTGTCTCCAACCATCATTGGTTTTTACCATCCTAAGGACCCCCAAACAGTCAAGAAATCTACATCTCCCTACGTGGCTTAAACTAAATGTTGTGGATTTTATTGACTGGTGAAGACTCTGCATTTTGTCAGCATCTTCACTACCTAGGAGGACTATATCATCTGCATATTCTAACTCAACGAGATGATTCCCTGATGGGTTAAAAGTTAATTCGTGAGTCTCAGAAGTCAATTACGGTTAAATCCATTAGTATGTCTATGATGAAATTAAACACAAATGGAGATAGTGGACATCCGTGATGGACACCGCTGGTTGTCACTGCTGAAGTGGTGACAACTCTCTGTAAGCTCTCACCTGGCTGCATGAGTTTGAGTAGAGTAGTGCTTTGATCACAGTGTGATTTATATTCTCAGCATTCCCTTCACAACTAAACATCACCATAGTACCTCTTAGTCAACGGAATAAAATGCCGCCTTTAGATCAAGAAATATGACGATTGTTGGACGCCAATGGAAAGTATGCCAATGCTCCCGAATCTGTCGAACGGTGAAGATATGATCAATGCACCCTCTTCCTGGTGTAAAGCCTGCCTGGTTCTCACGTGTTTATTCCTCCTGTGGACTGCTTAGTCTACGCATTATTATTGAGCCTTGAACTTTAGATGCCTTATTGGTCAAGCTAATCCCCCCTGTGATTATCACAGGAAGACTGAAGTCAGTAATTTAAATTGCTCATTATTAATTTGATTCCAGGTGATGGGTTTGTTTGTCAAAGAATTGATGGAAACAGTCGAATACGAGAAGTTGGAAATACTGTTTATTGAATTCTGATCCAACTAGAAACCTCACCATTAGATTTGATGGTGATTGCCTCTATCTCTTGTAAGGTCGTATCTACGTACTGCTGAGAAGTTTGCTGTTATTACTATTATTCTCTTGCGTTCAGAGCAGAGGATAGGCCTTTAGCAGAAAATCTCCATTACACTATCTTTTGTGTAGTTTTTTCTTATCTGGTCTCACGATTCTCCATAAGGTTTCATTTTCGTTTCACATGATCACCTCCGTGTCGCCTTTGAATGAATGCCCAACTTGTCGTTTCCCATTTGGGCTCTTCTCAAGGGTCTGTCTAGAGTCCTTATTGTTTTCCATTGGTCTCTTGAACATCTATCCATTCTGTCTCTACTTCCTTCTTCACACTCGTTGGGCGATAGTTTCTTGTTACTTATGCTTTCTGATTGGTCATCTGACCTACAGTTTTGAGCCATTGGAGGCAGTTGTTGATTGAAGCCTGTTGAAAACGACTTTGGTTACGCGCCAAGTCTCTGAACTATACTGTCTGTCTGTTTTCGATATAGAAGCAGTTCAAGTCGCCACACTCCATGTAGTACACAAAGCAAGAGAAGAAAGTAGAAGAAATGCATATTAGAGACAGTAAACAGAGGTGAGAGCCAAAGGAATAGTAGTAAAGAAGAACAAAACAGTTTCATTGGAAATCATAAGTTACAAGGAGTAGATGCATCTGAGTCATCACCAGGAACGATTTTGAGCCATGTCACCAATAGTTCCCAACCATTGGTTTTTGCCGTCCCGGAGACCCCAACTGGTAAGGAAGTCTACACCTTCCTACGTGACTTAGACTAACTGTTGTAGATTTCATTGACTGGTGAGTCCATGTTTTGGTTTGTCCTCCGCTAGCTCTTTTCCAGCCTGACCCTATATCAGCTAATATTGCCCGTTGAAGACTGACTTACAGAACTTGTTCGTTGTGCTAAGTACAGTAGGTTTGCACAGTAGTTTCAGAGTAATGAACGTTTGTTTTGCTTTTCCCGTCGTGGCTGGCTTTGACGTCGTCATGCTTGTACCTCCTATAGTTGAAATGATGACGGAAATGGTGACTTCGTTTAAATTCCTTTTGCTAGTGGTTATTGATGCTTGCTGTTGTTGTTGGTGGTGAGGAAGTTTTTTTCATCACCTCTGTTTTCTCTAGGTTCATTAATTCTTTATCTGAGTTTAACTACCAGTAAATACTATCTTTGAAACCTTTAAGGATGTTGCAGACCTTCCATGTAAACAAGGAATAAAACCCTCATATTGAAGTGTTGGTTTGCAGGGATTTCATTGGCTACAGGATTTCTTGATAAGCTGATAGTAGTTAGAAAACCATTGGAAAACCACTATGGATTACTGGACAGCTGTCTCGTCTTAGTTAGGGACTCATCAGCAGTACCCGTCCGTCACCAGGGTTAGTACCCACAACCTTTCGGTTACAAGGCGAGCCCGGTAGACCATTAAGCCGCTGGCACTCGACCTAGTGGTCAATGCATAAACTCCAACTTCTGCCAATCTAGCGTGACCTCTAGTCAATGTCAGTGGCGGCGAGCATTTGACCTCACACACCTGCTGTACCCAACTGGCTACTAATTCTCACTAGAACCCAGGTACAGCAGGTCGGGTATGATGACAAATACTCGCCAGGAATAACATTGGCTAATGGTTGCTCTATATTGTGAATTGGCAGAAGTTGGAATTCGTGGGTTGGCCATTGGATCGGGTCCCAACGGCTGAGAATGGTCTGCGAGCTCACCTTGTAACCAGTAGGTCGTGGGTTCGAACCCTGGTGGTGGGTGGGTACACTGCTGCTGCTGCAGAGTCCCAAACTAGGCTGATGTAACAGCTGTCGAGTACTCCCTAGTGATTTTCCAATGGTTCTCTAACCAATGTCAGCTCCTGATGATGAAATTCTGTAGTAAGACCTTTAGTTGAACAGTTTTACCATTTTTTTTAATTATTTATTTTATTCTCTCCTACGTTTGTTTCAGGCTAATCTCTCAGAGGCTTTAGACTCATATTTCTTTCAATATGGTGGCACTACGCATGGTAAAACAAGCGATCATACACTATCACAATTGCGTAGTGGAGATAATCCTGGTCTACCTGATCCGGTAGCTCTTGAACAATTTCGTAATACCTATAAACCAAAACAACTGCTTGCATTGGAGAAATTAAGATCCGAATTAGGCCCAAGATTGTTTAGTAATTGGAAAATTTATTTACGGTAAGCTTTTTTTTTATAGTGATCTTCCCCTTCCCCCCGCCCCTACGGGTGACTAGTTGTCTTTGGATCTTAAAATATTTTAATTTCTCTCCCCATCTCCCCTTTTTTTATTCCTTTGCATTCTTAACGGAAAATACGACTTCAAGCTTTGAGTTTTGAATTTTCAGTAGCATTGGTGCTATTCTGTTTTACGGGGTGGGGTGAGTAGCCTCACACCCCTCCCCCACCTTCTCTGTTCACCGGGCTTACAACCGGCTAATTGAAGTTTAGGTATGTGTCGGCTGGGGATCGAACCGTCGATCACTTGCGTGGTTGGTGAGCAATCTACTGCTGTACTATTGACGCACAAAGCTGAGTGCTTCAGGACCTATTCGCGTACCCACCCTGTAACTGAAAGCTCTTCATTGTCCATCACTTATTGAGTTCTCACGCTTCTTCTTCTTCTTCAGTGGCTTTTTTACTGCTGTATGGATTGTCCTTCTATGTCTGAAGACGTTGCTCCATGTACTACTTACATCTGCTTAAAAGTAGACCGCACTATGCTATCACATTTATTATTTATTATTATTGTTTCCTTTAATTCCTAAAGGAACATAGGGCTTCAGGCGCGCGTCTCCATTGCGTTCGGTTCTCTACTAGAGTTTTCACCTGGCTCCAAGTCTGCCCACGTGCTTTCATCTTCTCTTCACATGACCTCCTCCAAGTCACCCTTGCACTGACGACCAACTCGCCGTTTCCCTTTCGGGTTCCACTTGAGCGGTGGCTTGTCTAGTGATGTCACTTGATAGTTTCCTCAGAGTATGGCCAATCCATCTCCATTTCTTCCTGCAGATTTATTGCACAATCGATTCCTGCTAGGTTAGTTCGCTTCCAGAGATCCCTGTTGCTGATCTTTTCTGGCCGGCCATCTGGTCTTGAGTATTGAGCGAAGACAACTGTTGATGGTCTGTAGTTTGTATGATGTGCTCTTTGTGACGCACCAAGTTTCTGATCTGGCGTGAGGCTAGCTCTACAATTATATGCATATGTTTATATACATAGAATATTCTAGAATAGTAGTCAATAAAGATATTAGTGTTTTTTAAGTAATTTCGATTTACTATAGTTTGGTTTGTAAGGGTTAGTTATGTTTTTACGAGTTGATCACGGTTTGATATCAGTTATAGAACCATTGAAAACCAGGAGGTACTTGTTTTCAATGATAATGATATTGTCTAAACTAACTTCTTTTGGATGCACAAATTAGGTTTGTTAATATGGAGCCTCAGCAATATGTAGTAAACGAACTCTTAAGGCGAAGTTAAGATTTGTTCGTATGCGGTAAATGACCCTGGTTAACGTAAATCTTGTGTTTTGTATCCACAAGATGAGATAGAATAGCACTATGAATAGATTTTGTTTGACCCTTTACTTAACCACTGTGCAGGATGATGTTCGGAAATCCGACGAGAAACACGCTTAATTGTACTGCCTATGTAACTGGCTCACTCCACAGGAGCAGTTGAATCGGTAGATACACATGGAAGAAGCGAAATCAGGCAGTTTATCGTTTACTCCTGAACGCAAAAGAGGGATGATTTTGAAGACACAGCGTGATTCGGCAGCAGGGAATGCTCTTTTTCTCTCATCTCTAAGACGCTGTGTTAGTATCTCGCTGATGCTCTCCCCGGGGAACTACATTTGTAAGAATAAGGCCTTTTTTGGAACTGTTGGTGTACCTTGGGCTGCTTTGATTTTAGATTCATATTCTTATCAATAAACTTTTCTGGATAGCCATTTTTACTTAGCAACCGTTTAATATTATTAAGTTCCTCATCAAGACATTTATCTGAGCAGATTGCTCTCTTGCTCTTTGATGGATCAAACACTTTATCAGATTGCGTTTGTATTTTAAGGGCACGAAGCTGAAAAAAATGAGTATACTGACAGTCAGTCGATGTAGGTTTTCTATATATACACTTCTTCTTATTGTGCCATCCTCTTTTCTGGTCATAAGGACATCTAAAAATAAAATACTAAACTCTTTTTCTTTCTCCATAGTAAAATTTATTACAGAATGAACCTCGTTAAATTTATCTAGGGTGTTCTTTGCTTCCTTCTCATTTTTCATAATCAAAAAGGTGTATCATCTATGTAACACGGACAATAGAATTCGATTTCATTAATAACATTTGTGATTGGAAAAACGCTCTTGTTCTTTACATTGACCTTATAGGTGTTGAATGTTTAGTATTATGTAATTAACTCTAAATTTTGCGCTTTGTTTGCGCCATTACCCGGATAAGATCTTCCAAATCGTTGACAGTTGGTTTAAGGTAGCCATGTAAGGAAGTGCTGAGGTCTTTAGAATGCTAAAGATCAATAACTTGAGACTGTTGGTCAACTATATAGCTGAGAAATATTCTCAATGGCGCAGGTACACATGCAATTTTTGTAATCTCCAAATCGATCAGTTACTCATATTTTTCTGTAGGCTTTTCATAAATTTTTACCCATTACAATTTATATGCTCTATGGAGTGTGGCAACTTGAACTGCCACACTACTGTGCAAAGTTCTATGTTGAAGCTTAAGTCAGTTAGTCATAGATCTTTCATGGATTAGGCTGTAATAGCCACATTTATATTGTATTGTCATTGTTATTCCCCTGGGTTTCGAGTCGAACATAGCTCTTTAAAAGGACATCTGTATTTTTTTCCTGTTATCGGTAGTCCTCCTCTATTGGCTCCACAATTACTTGTAAGCTGTCATCTCCTCCACCATGGCACCCTCGGATCCACATTTAACTCATTGTTTCCCATCTGGGTTCCACTCGAGGTTGTCTATCTTCTCAATTCTGCGGCAACTTTGAACAACCTTTCCAGCTTTGAATATCGTGGAGAAATTCCATGTCCTCTTCCACCCCATGGCCAAGACTTGCTTTTTACTTTCATTGAAAGAAGATACGTTGGCTGACTGGCTGGCTTTCTGAAGGCTTTCACCAGCCCACATCATTTCGTCTCCCCGATTTCAATGAGGAGTGGGTTTGCAATTAATAGTGTTCTCTGAGCTGGTTGGTTTAGTTGCAGAGCTTTCGTCGTCCTTCTGGACAACACCTTCAGCGCAACTTTTAGCATAAAGTGAAGTGATTTAAATTTTTTCCATGATTGATAGAATCGTGTCTCCCGGTAACCATCTTTCCATATGTATTGACCGTGTTTTATTGACTCGGATTTTAAACTTTCTCGTCACATGACTTACTTTTCATTAGTTGGTAGGTTTGGTTTATATAATAACATGTTTGTTAATTGCATATTCGCTTGAGTACCAAGCTTCTAGGAATTCCCTGTCACTTTTGGTGCTTTCTCTGTCTAAAATTTCGACATTATTGATATGTATCCACATATATATATTTATGTGTGTGTGCATGTTGGTCTCTCTTTCTGTTTGCTCTCTTAGTCTGTGACCATTTCACTGGTATGAACTTGTCTCCTTTAACAATGTATATTCTCCTTATATTATATTATATATAATATGAGTGTTTGTTGACAGTCCGTTGCTTGGTGACATATATCCATATATGGTTGTTGACATGTCTGCTATATTCGCTATGTATATTTGGATCGACACTCCATTATAATTAGCCATTCATGTTAAGACTGTCTAATGATTTTTCCCACGCTTGTCTGGAACATTTATATATATTCGCATTCACAATTTGTGTGAACGACTTTACTTACTTACCACTTTGGTGTGAGACCATTTTATTTCGTCTCCTTGTGTTTGGACAATAGAAGTATCATCGCAAACCTAGTGGTCTTCTGATTTCCGCCTTCTCGCGTCAGGACTATTAGTTTCTCGACCAGTCCATAATAATAATTAAGCGACGAGTACATAACAATTCCCAATCAAACTGATGTCCATAATTATCTATATGCATTGACATGAAACACGAATATATATCATGTCACAGCTAATTTGTGATCCTGGGTTCGTATTCGAAGGGGATTCCCACTTTGGCAGATATGATGCCTGTTACATTTCCTACAATTTATTTTGTAAATGGTAATAATTTTATCTTCTTTTTCTGTTGGATGTGTCTTTCGGTTAGCATAATGTCGGATTAAGCGATTTGACTGGTTTGTGTGCTACATCTATATGAAACGGTTTCATTATTCTAGCTGTTATTTCAGAGATATTTTTTATGTATAGGATGAATTTTCTTGTGTTCTTTGATGATGGTTTCTTGTTGGTGTTGTGATTAGATTTTAAACACTTTTTGATAAAAGTTCGCGGACATCCGTTCTTTTTGAAGACAGTTAGTAGGTATTTTTCTTCCATTCTTCTCAACACTGGGGTGCGACAATGTGTTTGAATTCTTTTAAACAATGTCTGCACACAATTGCTTCTGTAAGTAATCAGGTTGTTACTATTTCAGTTGAGTATTCGATCTGTGTGCGTTGCTTTTCTATATACTTGTCTTTCTAAATTTCCTGTGTTGGTCCTCCTGATTAAGACATCTAAAAGTGGGATTCTGTTATCTAGTTCTTCTTCTCTTGTGAATTTTATGTCTTCAAATATGTTGTTTATTAATTTATGGTGGCTACATTCTAAATCATTTCTCTTAATTATTACTAATGTATCACATTAGTGCACATTTGTGCAAAGTTCTATGTCGAAAACAGACAGACAGAATGTATCATCAACGTAACATACCCAGATTTTCGGTTTAATTATAGGTATAACTATTAATTCTAATCTTTGCACAACGGCTTCAGCTATTAATCCTGATATGGGCTATCCCATTGGTGTCCCTTTTATCTGTTCGTATATTTCAGTGTTGAATTGGAAGTATGTTGTTGTAAGGCATAATTTTATGAGTTCTATCCAAGTTGAACATAACTGCGTTTTTATGTTTTCATCACTATAGAGTAATTTTTGCATAGTTTCTGTTGCTAGTTTTGGCATAATTGAAGTATATGATGCTGTAACATCAAAGGACGCCATTATTTTTCATTGTTTTCTACTTGAATGTTTTTGATTTTCTCTAAAAATTGGATTGTCGAATTGATGGAATGGTCGCATAATTCTGTAAGGTAATTTAATTTTTCGGAAATTTCTTTAGATAGATTATATGTTGGTGTTCCTGGAAGCGAAACGATTGGTCGTAAGGTTTATTTTTAGCATTGTCTTTTCTGTGCACCGAAGTTTGTGTAGTGATGATGGGGTCGATCTGTGGTTGTTAACCCCTTGTCCATCCCTCCCCTCTTTCTTCGTGTTTATAACTGGCTGGTGAACTAAACGAGCTGTCATGCTTTATGCTTTATTTATATGTATATATATATATATGATTTACTGTGTATTACAGTGAAGGTTTCAACATCCTATTGTACGGGATTGGATCTAAACGACATATTATCCAGGACTATCACAAACAATATTTATCTGGTACAGATTGTATCGTCATTGCAGGGTATAATCCTTCGGTAAATATTCGACAGGTTCGTATGCTTTTTTTTGTGATTTCTGAAATTGTTTTCATGAGTTATCTTTGTTTAAAATTGTGAATGTTTAATATCATTTCAGTTTCAGCGAAGAAAAGTTTTCTTTATCGACGAAATCATCTGCCTTCAGAGGCTGTACAGTCGTATTTATACTTACCAACAAATATACATAGTGGTCTATTATTGACTAATGGGAGGGAGCAGGTGACATAATTGATATAATTACTCATATATGGCTTTAGAAGTGAAAAGAATTAAAAGTTGTAAATTACATGGTACTCAACGGTACAAAGATAGAAGTTTGATAAGGTTAAAATTTCTATTGAGTAGTGAGAATAAAGGTGGCAGTTGATTGTCAATTTAGCAAGTGTGAAGAGGATGTGAAAAGGTACAAAAGGAGCATATGAGATTGATGATAGGGAATTAATTATTGAAGCAAAAGTAAGCTAAAAGAAAAAAATCAAGATTTTTCTTACAGGGAACGATTAGTGAAGAGGTTAAGACCAAGGTAGAATAAGAGACTGACCTACGTATCAATTCCTACAGCCGACAAATGATCAACGGATGTGTGAAGGATAAACTACCGCTTTGAACTGGCCACTTCAATGTGTCTTTATAAATTCACCTGCTCGTGTGGAGCTAGTTACATTGGCCACACAAAACTGGCGTACACTTTCCAAACGCATCTCTGAACATTACCCAGCATGGTTTTTAAAAAGGAAAATGCAAGAGAATTATTAGCTCGATTCTCGAGCACTTCACATGGTGAACTCAAGTCACATAGCCTCACCAGAGTCGTCTTTCAAGATCATCTACAAAGTGAAGCCAAATGGTGGTACAAAGGATGTCAGGTTTCGGCTTTTGTATATGGCGAAGGCGCTGGCAATTCATCAATACAACCCTGAAATCTGTATACAGAAAAAGTTTATCCAGTCTCTTATTCTACCTTGGTCTTAACCTCTTCACTAATCGTTCCCTGTAAGAAAAATCTTGATTTTTTTCTTTTAGCTTACATTTGCTTCAATAATTAATTCCCTATCATCAATCTCATATGCTCCTTTTGTACCTTTTCACATCCTCTTCACACTTGCTAAATTGACAATCAACTGCCACCTTTATTCTCACTACTCAATAGTAATTTTAACCTTATCAAACTTCTATCTTTGTACCGTTGAGTACCATGTAATTTACAACTTTTAATTCTTTTCACTTCTAAAGCCACTGATGATTAATTATATCAATTATGTCACCTGCTCCCTCCCATTAGTCAATAATAGACCACTATGTATATTTGTTGGTAAGTATAAATACGACTGTACAGCCTCTGAAGGCAGATGATTTCGTCGATAAAGAAAACTTTTCTTCGCTGAATCTGTCTTTTATTTTCTTCATGACTACTCCTCAATGGGTATTTTCGGTGATCATTTCGGGTATGTATTAGAACAGTTGTCAGTTTCTAGCACCAAACGCAACAATTCTGGTTGTGTGTGTGCGCGCGTGTGTAAGTCTGCGTGTATTTATGCTAGGGAGGCATGAATTGCATTCACTGTAACTCGCTGCCAACAAAGTCGTTCATTCAGTACATCTATGCTGAAATTTAAACAGAAATGGGGACAGTGTGGGGGTATCCTTGACGCGGATACCACTGGTTGTCACCACTTTATCCGATTATCTGCGGGTTGGTTTAAATGCTGCCAGGTTGGAAGTATTAAAAAGTAATATAGTTAGGTGAACAGAGACGTTAATCATTGAATCTTTTAATAATAATAATAACTTGCTTTATTCCAAAACAGTACTTGTGAAACAGCATGGTATTCTCAGCACTTTACTACAGTATTACATCCAGTTTGTACATTAACAATAAATAAAATTCTACATAGATTAAGGATAATCTTGGTTAGTTTTGACAACAACGTATTAGCATGTCAGTAGCAAAGCGAAAATTGAACAGTGTTTGAACCTGTTAGAAAAGTAGATACTAGCATATTTACTGGCGTAAAGAGGCGAAAGAAACAAAACAGCACACAACAAAAAAAGAGAGAAAAAGAAAAGAAGGGAAGAAAACGTTGTACCTATAAATGATATGAGTTGGAAAGACGCGATCCAGTTGTTCTACTGACTATTTAATAAGTCATAGGTTTCACGCCTAACGCTTTCTTTATCGCACACAACACGAGCCAGGTAGGGTATGGATGAGTTTTTGTACTTACTAGTGCGAGCATAGTTTTCTATATAGGCTTCTGGTTTTCCCTGAAGAGATACATGGGGAGAGTTGTGAATGAAGAGGGTGCTGGTGTGAGTTAGATAAAATGGATTTTGCCCATTTTTCACATGAGTCCATGTGGCTGTCAACCAGAATATTAACAAGCTGGTTAAGTGGCACGTAACTTACCCTGCTGACAACCTTTAACATCCTGCGTAATAAGGTATAGTCTTTATTCAGTAGCCAGCCCTGGAAAAACTAAGGTGGAACCATAGAGAATAATAGGCAGAATGTGTGAGTTAACGAATTGTAGGAGTAAGGGTTGGCTTATACCAGAATGTCTTAACTTCTTGATGTAGAAGGTAAGACGGAATATTTTCTTAGAAATCATCAAGATATGAGACGACCAGGAAAGATCAGCAGATAAAATGGCGCCAAGATATTTAATTTCCGACTTGGTTTCTATTTCAGTGCCGTCTATGTTGCACACCTCGTGAGTGTTAACCAGTGTGTTTAGGTCAGATTTATGCCTAAAGGTGAAGTTGACTGTTTGGCATTTAGAGGGGTTTTAGGTTAGTACAGCGGTGCATCGATGGCACAGTGGTTAGGACTCTCTCCTACCGTGCATATGGTCTGAGGTTCTATCCCCTGCTGATGCACGCCTGATATCTATGGCCGGCCTGCAAAATTTGGGCTACCGATATCCATGCTGAAAATTCCATACTTGTACCAAAAATTCAGTGTGGAATCAAGCTGCAATCAAAAATACAAATAAAATAAAAGGTTAGACTGTTTTTCTTGGACCACTGGCTGATTTCTGATAAAAAGCCATTTAGTTTAGAGCGGTCACTTTGACATTTGACAGGCGAAGATACAGTTAGGTCGTCAGCATATTTGACAAAGTTAATATCATTTGAAGATGGTAGGTCATGTAGAAAGAATGAAAAGAGAAGTGGGGAGAGTACAGCACCTTGGGGGACACCAGCTTCAGTGAGCACCGCAGAGGAGGATTTACCTTTATCGATTCAACACCGCAGCACACGTGAAATCGAAATGATGCAACGCCTATACGGGAGATATAGAAAGTGGCAACAGACAACAAGGGGATAATGAAGAGAGAGAAAGAGAAAACTTATATGAAACAAATTGTGATGCCGTGTGACTGTATTCACATGATTATTAATGACAGTTTACGCTTCAAACCTTGTCATTCATTTATTAATACTGCATCATCACTGTGTGGAAAGCTGACCTCAACAACAAAGGGCAAGACTCAGGCAACAAACCGATTATTAAGGAAATCAAAACAGATATTTATAGATTTTCATGTACATTACTTTGAAGGATTTTTTGAAAGGCTCTGAATATCCTGAATTGACCAAATGTGTTATGTCACTGAACCAAATACACATTTTCAGTCTCCTTTTACTAACCTCCAAATCGCTGAGGAAAACATACTTCGTCGCGAGTCTACGACTGACGTTTTCCTGCAAGAAACTGTTCAGCTAAAACGCGAAAGACAAGCTGTTGCATTGAGCCACTTCAACGTGCATATACCAGTTTACTTGCTCTTGTGCAGCTGAGTACATCGGCTGTACCATGCGCCGACTTAAAAAACGCGCTCGTGAACCACTATCCAGTCTGGCTAGTAAAAAGAGACCGAAAACGTGTTTATGTTTTCATGTACATTAATATTGATTATTGTTGGTAGAAAAACAAAGTCTTCTGATTGGTTGTTTCTCGCCGCAAGTTAATCTTTCATCTCTTTGTGGCTACTTCTTGAATGTCAGATTATCTATCTGCTAATTGTATTCCCCCACGCAAAGTCTGCTGTGATTAGTTGTTGTCTGTCTCTCTGTCTGTTTTCGAAACAGAACTTTCCACATATGTTCGGCAGTTCAAATCGCCACACTCCATGTACCACACAAAGCAACACAAGAAAGTAGAAGAAATGCGTAACAGAGACAGTAAACAGAGGTGTGAGACAAAGGAATAGTAATAACGAAGAACAGTATAGTTTCATTCGGCAATTATAAGTCACAAGGAGTGAATGCATCTGCGCCAGCCAGCCATTGAGAACGATTTTGAGTCATATCACCAACTGTCTTCAGCCTTCATTGATTTTACCGTCCCGAGGACCTCAACCAGTCTGGAATTCTACACCTTCCTACGTCGCCGGCTTAAACTAACTGTTGTGGATTTGATTGACTGATGCCATGTTTTGGTTTGACCGCCACTAGCTCTTCCCCAGCCTGACCCTATATCAGTTAACATTGCCTGATGTCGAGGAAGGCGATGACTAGACATGTATGCGTAACACATGTCCTAACCGTCTTAGTCTATGTAACTTCACAGCCTCATCGATTGATTTCTCCTCCTTACCTAGAACTCGACCGAAGTCTAACCTCAATATTGCTCACCTTATTATGCCACTTCACATGGGAGATAGAACGCAGGCACCTAAGATCAAAGATAGGTAGTGAGACTTTTCATGTCTTCCACTCTCAATGGCCAGGTCTCACAGGTAGCCATAAAGGAGGATGGAGCGGACTGATGAGCACTACACCCGCCCTTTGGTCGACAACCAGCTAGCCGGATATCACGTCTACTAAGCCAGAGACGGCGTAAACTGGCATATGCGAAATTAGCTCTCTGTATCCGTACTGAGATTTCGTCAGAGATCGACCCGTTGGCGTTGGCTGATGGTACTTCCTAAGTAAGAGAAGCGGTCAACGTGCTCTACCACTTATCTCCCTATTTCTAATCTAGGCGTCAGTGTGGTGCAGTCCTGTAACATCATCTTACATTTCGCAGGACCAAATCGCATGCCAAACATTCGTAGATTGCAGCTCAAGGTGTTTAGAAGACTCTGTTCTATTTTGTCAGCGTCCTCACTTAGAAGGACTATATCGTCTGCATATTCCAAGTCAACGAGATTATACCCTAGTAGCAAGTCAATCCCTGAGTCTCTGAAGTGAGTTAAGGTTAAGTCCATTTGTACATCTATGATGAAGTTGAATAGAAAAGGGGATAATGGGCATCCTTGACGGACACCACTAGTCGTCACCAGTTCAGATGACAACTCGCCGTAAGCACTCACCTGGCTGAATGAGTACGAGTAGAGTGCCTTAATTAGTGCAATGTATTTTCTCGGCATTCCTTTTACAGCCAAGCATCGCCAGAGACATAGACATAGAAATGTTTAGTACTTATTCATCCTATCTGTTATTCAAATGTATTAAGTATCGACTTGTCGAGATATATGTAAAAATTTTAGAAAACATTTTTTGGTGTTCAATGTGTTTTTTTACATGTTTTCGTTTACATCTACAGATTCTCAATTGTATTTGTAAAGAGTTCTTGCATGCTGCAGACAACTGTAGAAATCCAACAGAACAAGTTCAACTCATATGCGATTTTTTCAAAAAAGATGGTAAGAAAGTATAAATGATAAGGGGTGTTTTTGTATTTCCCAAATGACTGAATGAAAAACAAAACGATATTGTTGTGTTTACTGACGTTTCGCTATTTAATACTGCTGCTAACAGCTTTATCAAAGTAGTAATATTAAACCAGAAGAATTAAAAAATCCACTCAGCTTATAGATAACAACTTAATCATCGTTCTTCAGCATGAGGTCATTTTTGCGTTGTCAAATTGGCCACTTGATAAAAATAACAAAACTAAGTGTAGATTGTTGCATTTGATAAGTGTATAAAATTGTAGAAACAGCATGCGTTTACATAACGAAATCGTGTATCACATTTGTGTTGATTTTATCATTTTATTGGGTGGGAGGGGAGGTGTTGTAACCAGGTCAGATTCTGTTTTAGTCCGTCATTCCTATTCAGACAATTTGGATTCCACTTGATATGAAGTTCTTCTGATTATATTAGACGTTCTCTGTGATTTCTGAAATGCTTTTTCTGGGTGATAATTTCAACATTGTCAAAATCAGTTTTGTGACTTGATTCTATAGCCTGTTATACCTATGGCTGGCTGATGATTTTTCAAGCTTTCCCACTTCAACTGGATTTCTCGATGATCGAGCAGATGCACTTAGGTGTTCATTTCTTCTTATTTTGATTTCTGTCTGACGATGTTTGTCCGATATATATATCGCATCACATTCCAAGCAGGCACTTTATTTTTGATAGACACAATTAGATAGAGAATCTTTCGGGATTTGGTCTTTTATATGGACAAGGTTGTTTCACAGTGTGTGTGCGCTCTATTTCCCGTGTAAAGTGGCATGATAAGGTGAGCAACATTGAGGTTAGGCGTAGAGTTCTAGGTAAACAGAGGAAATCAATCGACGAAGTCGTGAAGTTACATCGACTGAGATGGTTAGGACATGTGTTATGTATGCCAAGCCATCGCCTCCCTCGACGAACAATGTTAGCGGATATAGGGTCAGGCTGGAAAAAAGCTAGTGGCGGTCAAACAAAAACTTGGCCTCACCAGTCAATGAAATCCACAACAGTTGGTCTAAGCCACGTAGGAAGGTGTAGACTGGCTTCCTGGTTAGGGTCCTCGGGACGGTAAAAACAAATGGTTGGAAACAATTGGTGACATGGCTGAAAATTGTTCTCATTGGCGCAGATGCATCCACTCCTTGTGACTTATGATTTCCAATGAAACTGTTTTGTTCTTCGTTATTACTCTTCCTTTGTCTCACACCTCTGCTTACTGTCTGTTTTATGCTTTTCTTGTACTTTCTTCTCTTGCTTTGTGTGGTACATGGAGTATGGCGACTTGAACTTGCACACATTTGTGCAAAGTTCTATGTCGAAAACAGACAGACAGACAGAGACAGTATGTCTGATGTTTTGAAGAAAACTCTAATGTCGAGCTTATTGAGTACTCTTCTGATATTGCCTGACTTCTCCAGTCTATATGGAATGACAACTGTTGAGGCCCATTTCATCGGAATACGTTTTCGACCATACCTAATGTCAGTGTTGATTTTGCTGATAAAGTTCTTTGGCTAATAGTTGTTTTGCTTGAAAGTCTCAGTAATTTTTCGATATTTCTGCTTTTTTTTTCTTTCTCATCCGTTAACATCAAACAGTGTGCTCGAGTCTAAGAAGACTTGAAACAGTTGATACCTTTGCTCTGATAGGGTGTGATGATGCGAAGTCTAAATATTTGTTGAAGTAGGTTTCCATCCTGAATACAGATATACTAAAATGTCCGTTTTCCTTTCTCCTCCTAACTAGGCAGCCAGTCTAGAAATGATAATTCACCGATGTCTGATTCTGCTTCCGAAGTAAACTGGATGCTAGGAGATAGACAGTTAGTTCACTTTACGAATTTATACACAGTAATAAGAAGACGTGATTCATTTGAATCGTGTGTATAATGTATTTGCGTACAACACATTTCGAGCAATCTAATCACACACACACACACAAACTTGTTATAGGAATATATATGAAATTCGTGAGGAGTTAAGAGGTGAGAAAACAGACTTAGGTCACGTTAAAAGGACATAGTGAAGGTTAAAATAACAATCAAAATCACTAAACCAAATAAAAGAGGTGATAAATAGTACATCTACTCTTGCTGGTATCAAAACAGAGTTTACCAAAGAAGTTAGGTCTAGTGTGATGACGAATTGTTGCTTTGAACGCATAAAGATGTTTTAAACTTTCTAACTGCCAGCTAGGGCATCCACAAACTTTAGGATACCCTCTTCCAAACGCGTTTCATAGATAGGTTTAGAAGATGCGTAAACATCAATTGTATGTCCTGTATCTATAATATGTGTTTCGCAATAGAGGAGCTAGATCTCCTGTTCTCATCATAAATGGGTTCTGCCGATTCGAAGACCCCAAACAATTTGCCTACAGACACACATAGATGGCACTGAAATGAAACCAAGTCGGAAATTAAATACCTAGGCGTCACTCTATCTTCTGATCTTTCCGGTCGTCTCACGTCTTACCTTCTACATCAAGAGTTAAGACTTCTGGTTAACCCAACCCTTACTCCTACAATTGTTAACTCCATTCTGCCTATTATTCTCTATTGCCCCCTTAGTCTTTCCTGGGCTATTGAAAAGACTATACCTTATTACGTAGGATGTTAAAGGTTGTCAGCAGGGTAAGCAGTTTGCCACTTAGCCAGCTTGTTAATATTTGGTGACAGGCACATGGACTCATGGAAAATGGGCAAACCATTTTATCTGACTCACAAACCCCTACATTCACAACTCTCCCCATGTATCTCTTCAGGGAAAACAGAGCCTATAAGGAAACTATATGCCCGCACTAGAAGTACAAAACTCATCATACCCTACCTGTTTGCGATAAAGAAGCATAGGCAAACCTTTAACTTATTAAATAGTGTAGAACATGGATCTGTTTTCCAACTCACATCATTTAGTACAACGTTTTCTCTATTCGCTTCTGAAGCCAGCCTTTACTTTCAGAGGTCTGTGAGTCCTCCCCATGTTTATGCCTGGCCACACGTACATTCAAATTGGTAAATACAGTGGGATGTGACATAACTAATTGCATGTTCTAAGGGCTTAGATGGGTATATTGACTTCACATTCTCTATTATTATTATTATATTAGCTGCATAAAATGCCTTTTTAACAGCAGCGTTCAATCTTTGTCTAGTTATCAAGCTGCTTTGATCACTTATATAGGGTAGCTTGATATACACGTCTTTCTTAGTGGTGAGTTGGACAGTAAGTCTTGGTGTTCCACTGACTACTTTATACCTCCTGATGAATTTGTCTGGATAATTATTATCAACCAGAGTTTGTGTCAGCTTTCTTTCTTCCTCGTCAACTATGTCTTCAATGCATATGTACTGTTTGGTCTCACTTTGTAGATGACCGTGAAATACGACTCTGGTGGAGCTACGTGGCTTGAGTTCACCGTGTGAAGTGCTCGAGAATTGACCTAGTAACTGTCTTGCATTGTCCTTTTGCTAACCATGGTGTGTAATGTTCAGAGATGCGTCTGGAAAGTGTGTGCTCTTTGTGCAGCCAGTATACCAAGCTTCACACGAGCAGGTGAATTTATAAACACACATTGAAGTGGCTAATCCAGGGCGGTAATAGTGTATCCTTCACACATCCATTGATCATTTGTCGGCTCTAGAAATTGATCCGTAAATAGAAATACCACTCTAAAACCGCCTCTAAAGATGATTTTGTCGATAAAGAAAATTTTCTTCACTGAATTTGTCTTTTATTTTCTTCATGACTCAATAGGCACATCCGGTGATTTTATTTTTTTTTTATTTTTTTTTTATTTTTGATTACAGATTGATTCCACACTGTATTTTTGGTACAAGTATGGAATTTTCAGCGTGGATATCAGTAGCCCGAAATTCGCAGGCCGACCATAGATATCAGGTGTGCGTCGGCGAGGGCTCGAACCCGGGACCATGTGCATGGTCGGCGAGAGTCCTAACCACTGTGCCACCGACTGACTAAAAGTCATATGCTTAAGCCAATGAGTCACATCTTTACAGGAAACTTGATCAGTAATAATAATACTAATAACAGCTTTCTTCTGAACGGTGATTACATAACGTACAGAATTTTCAACGGAGTTTATCGTTGTCCAGGACCTTCAAATAAAAGATTAATCGACAGAAGAGATCGTGTGACACAGTTCTTTGTATCCGACCTGAATCACAAACCAATCCATTTTTATATTTCTACTTTGAGAATTACACGACGACATTTTGTTGAATGCCAATTATTAAACGTTCAGGAGTGCATTTTATGAACCAAGGACACACCAGTCAAGAACTTTTTTATTTATTTATTTATTTTTGATTTACAGCTTGATTTCACACTATATTTTCGGTACAAGTATGGAATTTTCAGCATGGATATCGGTAGCCCAAATTTTGCAGGCCGACCATAGGTATCAGGTGTGCGTCGGTGCGGGCTCGAACCCCGGGCCATGTGCATGGTCGGCGAGAGTCATAACTACTGTGCCACCGACGCACATCTCATGTACTGGAATAAGCTGCCACCCATCAAGGATAATTCTTTTTCTCATGTTTAGTCTCATACCCAACCTTCCCACATTACCAGTCTCACTACTGGCTTAAAGAGGTAACGGAGTGTGTCTGTTGGTCGCGGATCGAACCCCGGACCACATAAGGCGTGGTTAGCGAGCATTCCACCGCTGTGTCACGATGCCCATGTGATAATCACAGAGGATTAACTTGACTAATATAGTATCTAAAGTCTTAGGCTCAATAATCATGCGTAGACTAAGTGGTGCTCGGGAGGCACAAACACGAGAGAGCCAGGCAGGCTTTAGACCAAGAAGAGGGTGTATTGATCATATCTTCACCCTCCGACAGATTCTAGAACATAGGCATTCCTACCGGCGTCCAACAGTCATTATATTTCTTGACCTAAAGGCAGCATTCGACTCTGTCGATCGGGAAGTTCTCTGGAGATGCTTGGCTGTAAAGGGAATTCCAAGAAAATATATTGCACTGATTAAGGAACTCTACTCGTACTCATACAGCCAGGTGAGGGCTAACGGCGAGCTGTCATCTGAACTGATGACGACCAGTGGTGTCCGTCAAGGATGCCCATTATCTCCTTTTCTATTCAACCTTATCATAGATGTGTTAATGGACTTAACCCTAGGTGACTTCAGCAACTCAGGGATTGACTTGCCAACAGGGAATAATCTCGTTGACTTGGAATATGCAGACGATATAGTCCTTCTAGGCGAGGACGCTGACGAAATGCAGAGTCTTCTGAACACACTGAGCCGCAATCTACGAATGTTTGGCATGCGATTCGCTCCCGCCAAATGCAAGATGATGTTACAGGACTGGACTACATCGACGCCTAGTTTAAAAATAGGGAGTGAAGTGGTAGAGCACGTTGACCGCTTCACTTATTTGGGAAGTACCATCAGCCCCAACGGGCTGATCTCTGACGAAATATCGGCACGAATACAGGGGGCTCGTTTCGCATTTGTTAGTTTACGCCGACTCTGGCGTAGACGAGATGTTCGACTATCGACCAAAGGGCGGGTGTACTGCTCATCAGTCCGCTCCGTCCTCCTTTATGGTTGTGAGACCTGGCCACTGAGAGTGGAAGACATGAAAAGACTAGCTGTCTTTGTCCATAGGTGCCTGCGCTCTATTTCCCGTGTGAAGTGGCATAATAAGGTGAGCAACATTGAAGTTAGGCGTCGAGTTCTAGGTAAACAGGGGAAATCAATCGACGAAGTCGTGAAGCTTCAAAGACTGAGATGGTTAGGACATGTGTTACGTATGCCAAGCCATCGCCTCCCTCGACGAGCAATGTTAGCGGATATAGGGTCAGGCTGGAAAAATGCTAGCGGCGGTCAAACAAAAACTTGGCCTCACCAGTCAATGAAATCCACAACAGTTGGTCTAAGCCAGCCATGTAGGAAGGTGTAGACTTCCTGACTGGTTGGGGTCCTCGGGACGGTAAAAATCTATGGTTGCAAACAATTGGTGACATGGCTCAAAATCGTTCTCAGTGGCCAACGCAGATGCATCCACTCCCTGTGACTTATGATCTTCAATGAAACTGTTTTGTTCTACGTTATTACTATTCCTTTGTCTCACACCTCTGCTCACTGTTTCTATTATGCTTTTCTTGTACTTTCTTCTCTTGCTTCGCGTGCTACACGGAGTGTGGCGACTTGAACTGGTGCACATTTGTGCAAAGTTCTATGTCGAAAACAGACAGACAGATGCCCATGTAAATATTTTAAATACCCACCTGAGTAAACAATACTATTAGAGGTCACATTTTACTGGATTTAAACAAACTGAATAAGAGAAATTATATGCAATATAATTTGATGGAAATTTTGTGATAGTCCAGGCCGCGTGTAGTTTTATTAGTGCTTTCCTTTATTACTTTTTTTACCAACATTATTTATTGATATTTGGTTTACCAGTTTTTGTAGAGATTTGAGTCGATTTCACTGCAGATTTCATCACGAACCAACACATCTCAGTTAGAGATCATAAAAGACTGGACAACACCGGTAGACAGTCGTTTCGTCGTATCCTGAGACTCTTCAGTAATGCACACATGCAACCCCCACTAGGGATCGAACCCTGGGACCTTCAGCTTATGACATCAAGCTACTCAATGACAAGAGGTATCGCCTTATCGCGCATGTTTTCTTGTTGATCTCAAATCACTTCTGATGAGTCAGTTCAAGGAACAACTTAACTCTACTTTAATTTATTCTCTTTGTTGTTTATACTTGTTCTTTTGCTTTTTTTATTTAATATTTAGAAGCCGCAAAATCACCTTTATATCTTCTGATAAATAATATTGATGGACCAGGATTACGTAATGCTAAAGCTCAAGCTATTTTAGCTCGCCTAGCTGAAGTACAACATATTCATTTAATTGCTTCATTGGATCATGTTAATACGCCTCTGTGTAAGTTTATTTTTATTGTGAATATATTTGCTTATACTACTGATTCAATGGTTAAGTAGTGGTTGATTCATTTTAACATGGTTGGAGGCAATCGGCAGGAAGCCCTACACGGAAACACCTAGATTTCATGCATGTTGTTGGCTACCGTTCCTCAGCAAGGAATTCATGTCGCTCCTGAGATTCGAACCTCACAGTCACCCACTGTCTCAGTCAGTCAGAGTGAGGTAGATAGTCGGTCCCGTGCGATCGACCAGTGTAATGTGCCTAGTCCTTTGTTAACTTCAATTCTAGCCTCTCCCTAACAGTCTGCATCACGCACGCACAAACACACTACTTCGTGTGCTGTGGCTAACCAACCGAACAGGAACCGATTGTGCAACAAGTATGCAGGAAGAAATGGAGGTGGATTGGATTGGCCATACTCTGAGAAAACCATCAACTAACACCACTTGTCAGACCATTGTTCGTGTGGAACCCTAACGGGAAGCGTCGAGTTGGTCGTCAATGCTAACATGAAGTGTACTGGAGGAGGTGGTGTGAGGAGAAGATGAAAGCATGTGGGCAGACGTGGAACCACGTGTAAAACGTTGGCAGAGAACGAAAGGAAATTGAGATGAGCGGCTGAATCGCTATGTTCCTCCAGGAACTAAAGGAAACAATTGTTCAATAATCAATCTTTTTTGAAATTTCGGATGGACATCTTTAATCAATAATTATGAGTGGTAATAATTTATGCTTGAAACCTTAGCATGATCCAGTTATATTATATACAACATCATCACTGCTATGTGATATTTATAATAAACTTATGCAAAATTGGGCAATTATATTCTGTCATAGTGTCCAAAATTCCTACACCTACATTTATGCTAGTCTAAGTTAAAGAATTGTGTTATTATAGTTTTAATCTTAAACTAAACACTTTTTCATACTCATACTTGTTGACTAATTTGCATATACATATATTTGATTTTCACGTTTCTATGCCACCTAAACAAGGATGGTGCAAGATGATGTTGCAAGGCTGGACTCCTAGTTTAGAAATAGGGAGTGAAGTGGTAGAGCACGTTGACCGCTTCTCTTACTTGGGAAGTACCATCAGCCAACGCCAACGGGTCGAACTCTGACGAAATCTCAGTACGGATACAGAGAGCTAATTTCGCATATGCCAGTTTACGCCGTCTCTGGCTTAGTAGACGTGATATCCGGCTAGCTGGTTGTCGACCAAAGGGGGGGGGACTGCTCATCAGTCCGCTCCATCCTCCTTTATGGCTACCTGTGAGACCTGGCCATTGAGAGTGGAAGACATGAAAAGCCTGATTAGCTGTCTTCGATCATAGGTGCTCGCGCCGTATCTCCCGTGTGAAGTGGTATAATAAGGTGAGCAATATTGAGGTTAGGCTTCGGTCGAGTTCTAGGTAAGGAGGAGAAATCAATCGACGGAGCTGTGAAATTACATCAACTGAGATGGTTAGGACATGTGTTACGTATGCCTAGTCATCGCCTTACTCGACATCAGGCAATGTTAACTGATATAGGGTCAGGCTGGGGAAGAGCTAGTGGCGGTCAAACCAAAACATGGCATCAGTCAATCAAATCCACAACAGTCAGTTTAAGCCGGCGACGTAGGAAGGTGTAGACTTCCAGACTGGTTGAGGTCCTCGGGACGGTAAAAACCAATGAAGGCTGAAGACAGTTGATGATATGACTCAAAATCGTTCTCAATGGCTGGCTGGCGCAGATGCATTCACTCCTTGTGGCTTATAATTGCCGAATGAAACTATATTCTTCGTTATTACTATTCCTTTGTCTCACACCTCTGTTTACTGTCTCTGTTACGCATTTCTTCTACTTTCTTGTGTTGCTTTGTGTGGTACATGGAGTGGAGTGTGGTGACTTGAACTTCCGCACATTGGTGCAAAGTTCTATGTCGAAAACAGACAGACAGATAGACCTAAACAAAAATATTAACGAGCTAACTAAGTAGCGCACAACGTACTCTACTGACAACATTTAATGCCCTTAGGAATATGACGTAGTCTTTTCTTTCCCATTAGCCCATGAAAACTAAGGGAGAACAGTAGAGAACAATAGGTAAGATGCAAGATTTTTAAAAAGAAGTGTAAATGTAGACACTGAGTGATAGCAGATGTGTACATCTACATGGTGTTAATATATGTGTAAAACTTGGGCACTATGGTAGTAAGTAATTCCATATAAGTTTGTTTATTACATGTATCACACAGTGAGTGAAACAGTATTATTATTTACTGGATGACAAGGTTTCGGACACAATTTATTGCGGTTCATAACTATTTCATCAATTATAATCACACGACATCGAAACTTGAGTTTTATAGTCTTCTTTGTTCTCTCCTATTTGTCGTCATAGGCGTTGTAGTAGAATTTTCCAGATGTCCGGCTGGACAGGTGTTGAGTCATTTCTATGACACGTATTCTCTCTCAGTTGATTCGATAAACAAAGCTTCCGTTATCAATCTCTCCCTCCACCCTGATGTTACATTAGATTTTAAAACCGTCATCTTATCCCATCAATCCTATTGTATGGCTCTATGTAATTGCAAATAGTGAGTGCTATAGCTGAACTATTGTCGGTAAAAAAAGTTTCCGTTATCAATACATGTCAAACATTCTCAGGATTATGACAACACCAACAATAAGGAATCTAAATCCTCAGTAGTAATTCCATACAAGGAAGGAACCTTGGAAACCACCTTACGAAGAATTCGTAACAATACAAACAGGAATAAAAGTGGTTGACATTCAAACCATCCACAAACTCAATTATAAACAAGTTTTGTCGGTTACAGGATCAATCTTGTGGAGCCGTTTAAACAAAACAATTCAGTTTATCTAATACCCCACTCGCAATGATTGTCAGGTTAAATACGTAGGTCAAAGTGGTAGAGCAGGTGCAGTGAGACTAGCAGAGCGTAAAAACCTAGCAAAATCTAGATTAGTTGACCCGAATAAGATAAGAAATCTAGAGAATAGTTCAGCTATGCCACTCACTACATTTTATTTATTTATTTATTTATCTTAACGCATAAAAAACTTGGTACAATATGGCACCAAGAAAGATGCGCCACACAATAATAATAAAACAACATAGATCAAAAAAAAAAAGGAAAGAAGAAAATATATATATATAAGTAGAGAACGGATAAAGAACTTCATCTGGAAGGAAAACAGTCATGCTTAACAAGTTCAAACAGTGTTCGTTAGCTATCATCGGGAAGGGAAGAAAGAAGGAAATTACAACACATTCGCCATTGATTACGATTCTTGGCCATATCCGATAACGTTTCGAGCCATCGATTTGAGCTATCTCTCGGACCCCAACCAGGGAGTCGTGACACACCAACCGATGCTAATCTAGCACAAAAATCCTTCATCCCACGACGCCACGTCATGGACTGACCACCTCTCCGCCTTTTCCATCCCGTCCCAGGGCTAGCGAACAGAGACCTGTACGGAAGCCTCTGGGGTGACATTCGGAGCACATGTCCAAGCCACCGGAGCCGGTGTTTCCAGATGACGACATTCAATGAATGGTGATCTCCACTTTGTTCAAACACACGCCGCCGAACCTCAGAATTACTCACGCGATGATGCCATCGAACGCAAGCAATCCTGCGGAGACAGCGGTGATCGAACACGCAGAGTCGCCGCACATCCTCAGCTCGGAGAGGCCAGGTTTCACAGGCGTAGAGCAGCGCAGCCCGCACCGAAGCATTGTATACCCGACCTTTGACAGCCAGGCTAACGTCGCGACGGCGCCAGAGGTGGCTCAAGTTGATGTATGCCACCCTAGCCTTCATTATACGGTTGGAAATCTCATCCGTCACCCCTCCGCCAGCACTCACACAACTACCCAGGTACACAAACTTATCAACAACTTCAAGCGGTTCACCCGCAAGAGTGAGTGCAGGTACAGGCTCCTGCCAATCTTGTAACAGTACTTTGCACTTAGACGGCGCAAAGCACATACCATACTTACAGACACTGATCGCCAACTGATTAAGTGCGATTTGGGCAGCCTGCATGCTATCGCACAGTAAGACGATATCGTCTGCATACTCGAGGTCGAAAAGTCTATCTCCAGGTAGCAGATCTACACCACCTTCACGCACATCCTTCAGAGCTGACTCCAGAATGTCATCGATGGCAAAGTTAAAGAGAAATGGAGAGATTGGGCAACCCTGTCTAACCCCACTGTTGGTTGGGAACAGTGGTGATAGTTGGTTGTATGCCCTCACTCTACCTGAGGTGTTTCTGTATAGGGCTTTCAGGATGTTAACAAATTTCTCAGGTACACCTCTCTCTAACAGACAGTTCCAGAGCACAGTTCTGTCCAACGAATCGAAGGCAGCCCTAATATCAAGAAACACAACGATCGTTGGCCTGCAATACGTGTGGCGGTGTTCCAACAACTGACGAAGGGTGAACACATGATCAATGCATCCACGACCTGAACGAAACCCAGCCTGCTCTTCGCGAATCAATCCTTCACGTATTTTGCACAGTCTGCGAAGCAAGACAGCAGCCAATATTTTAGACGCGACTGGTAACAGACTGATACCCCTATGATTGTCACACGAATTACGTCGACCCTTTTTAAAGATGGGGACGATAATGGCTTCGTTCCACATTGATGGTACACTCTCTGTCTCCCACACCTTCCTGAACAACCCAGTTAGAGCCATTGTGAGAGTCTCGCCACCATCTTTAAAAAGAGCCGGGGGTAATTTGTCTGGGCCGGGCGCCTTATGGCGTTTCAGAACTTGGAGTTCCTTACGGACCTCCGCTTCGGTGGGTGGGTCGGTACTAACCGACCAAGGAGCACTCGGGCTAATGATAGTAGACACTGAAGCTGGTGGCCAGCTGAACTGCTTCCCGAAGTGCTCTGCCCAGCGTTCCAGGCGTCTTTTCAGGCTGGTAATTGGAGTGCCATCTGCCTCACAGACCGTCTCGCTGACACCTTGTTTCTTGCTGCCGGTGGCTCGTATGAGTTGGAACAGCTTCCGACTGTTGCCAGATGCAGCAGCTGACTCCATCTCACACGCACGTTCTGACCACCAGGCTTCGCGGTCCTTACGTAAACACTGTCTAATCTTGCGCGTGAGCGCCTTTCGCTGATTGTTGTATTCGCTGCCAGCCGGAATGGACCGGCGTTCATCCATGAGTTGCAAGGAACTCGCAGAAACCCAGTGGTTGTTAGCGGAGCATTCTTTCAAGCCGCAAGCGGCTACACTCGCCTTTTGCATGGCACCTTGCACATGAAGCCAATGTTCATCTATACTACTTGGGGGGTTGCTGGCAAGCATTGTTTTTAACTCATTCTGATATTTCAAAGAAGTAGCAGGTGCTACTAGTTTGCTCACATCAACGCTTAGACGACGGCTTTTACGAACCCCACCAAATCGCAAGACGAACTTGGCACACACTAACGCATGATCGGAGTCCAGGCATGTGCTCCAGAAGGAGCGACAGTCTTGTATGCATCCTCGCCACCGGAAACTGACCGCGATATGATCAATCTGAGTCCAAGCTTGCTTCGCAGAGGGAGGACGCCAGGTAGCGCTACGGCGATGGCTGTGCCGGAAGTTGGTGCTAGCTAGAAATAGGTTGTGATCCGCGCAAAGCTGCAGAAGACGGTCCCCATTATCTGACCTGCGACCATGTAGTCCCCACTGACCACCTAGACGATTCTCCTCTGAGCTTAGACGCCCCACCTGTGCATTCAAGTCCCCAGCCAGCACTACGATATCCCTCCGACCCGCCTGTTTCAAGAGATCGCTCAGTTGGTAGTAAAACTCATCCTTCATTGCATCCGGGCTGCAATCCGTCGGTGCATAGGCAGAGACAACAAATAGACACCGCCTATCTGGCCTACTACTCTTTACTTTCGTATAACCTTCCAGCCTCACAGCACATAAACGACTGTTAATGGGAATCCAGTCGAGCAGTGCAGCTTCGGCTCTAGCGCTCAGTGCGACACCGACACCAGCTACGCCGGATGCCGACGCCACAGGGTCCCCGGATAAGCGCAGGTGGTACATACTACTAGAACTTCCAGATGGAGAGGATAGTCGAAGCACTTCACTGGGATCTTGAATGCGGGTCTCCGAAATGCAGCAGACATCGATAGCGAGGCTTTCCAAAGTTCTTGCCAACCCTGCCTGTTGTCCGATTTGCATCAGCGTCCGAACATTGTAGGTAGCCAGCTTGAACGCAGCACGCGGTTTCAGGATATCCGTGTTAGATGTCACATTGGGAACAACCATTTTGAGGACTACTCACTAACATCTCGAAACGACACGGATAGGCTGGGAATCTCGACAAAGGCGAAAGGCTGTCGAAGGTTAAGAAGCCAAGGTTAGAAAAGGTACAATACAGGAAACTATGTATAAAAATAAAAGTAGGGTAGGAAGGAAATAAGTTCCTTGAGGGATCAATATTGCTTGGAATCATTTTTACTAGCGCGCGTTGAGTTTCAATGGGAGTTCGTTGCTTTAATTCATTCATTGTGTGCGGGCTGAGATACTGCCCGGGCGCCCAGACCGAAGCAGGTGGTTTTATTAAGGGACCACCCCCGAGCCTTTGACTTGGAGTCTAATCCGCAAGGCAGCGGAGCAGCGTCAGGAGCTGCATTCCCATGGTTGCCGGTGACCCATATGGGTTCATACGCCATTTGATCCGATTGGAAACTGGAGCCCATGTACCCCATGGTAACTGCTTTTAGTTTAACCGCTATCCAGAAAACCTTCCTGACATGGTGGGACCTGTAGAGACAGAGTCCCAGTCAGTTCAGCTTGTTGGGTCATTGCGGTATTCAAGCCCGACCAACACGACAAGGTAGCATTTATCGGCCGGGTCTCACTACATGCATTTACACACAATCATACAATCGGATGGGATAAGATGACAGTATTGAAATCTAATGTGACGGGGTGCAGGGAGAGATTGATGACAGCGGAAGCTTTGTTTATCGAATCAACTGAGAGAGAATACGTGTAGTAGGAGTGATTCAACACCTATCCACACAGATATCTGGAAGATTCTACTATCGCAACGACGACAAATAGGAGAGAACAAAGAAGACTATAAAAGTCAAGTTTCGTAGTCGTGTGATTATAATTGAAGATATGATTATGAACCTCAATAAATTGTGTCCGAAACCTTGTCATCTAGTAAATAATAATACTGTTTCACTCACTGTGTGATGTATGTAATAAACAAATTTATATGGAATTACTTACTACCACGGTGCCCAAGTTTTACACATATATTAAACTAAGAACTTTTTCTACATTCTTTTTTGTACTCAATACATGTTTAATAATATTTCCTAATTTACATATTTGGCTTTGTCTTTTCTATGCCTCAACTAAACAAAAATCTTCTTAGTATGGTCTCATAATGAATTGGCTCGATTTTCATGGATATGGGAAGATTGTACTAATTTTCACAGTTATACAGAAGAAACGTGTTATTCTAATAGTCAAATCTTACAAAATATTCTTGGTGGAATTGGAAGTGGATCAGATAGCACTGGTAGCGCTGGAGCAATGTTTGCAAGTCTTCGTCAAGTGGCTGCATCACTTACACAAAATGCACGTGATATCTACAAGATGATTGTAGAATACCAGTTGGAAACGCCACTGCAAGAAGGCAAAGGAGCTATAAACGGTGAGTATAAACTTATTATACTGTGGATTGTTTGTACTGCATGCCTGCAGTGCGTCATTATTATTATTATTGTTCCCTTGGGTTTCAGGTGGAGCATAGTGCTTCAGCAACACGTCTCCACTCTGTCCTATCCTCAATGGTCTTCTGCAGCTAGCCCAACGATTGATCATAGTCTCTCACCTCTACCTCCCATGACCTCCTTCATGTCACCCTCGGACCAACACCCAACTTGTCGTTTCCTTTACGGATTCCACTCGAGTGATGGCCAACCTGTGGCGAGTGATGTCATTCTATGGTCTCTGCAACATATAGGCAATCTATCTCCATTATCTACGGGATATTTGTTTGGGAATAGGTTCTTGGTTGGGTTTTTCTTAGATTTTCTTGTTGTTAATTCATTCTAGCCGGCCAATTGATCTTCAGCATGGAGCCAGAGAAGGCAGCTTCTGATAGAAGTTTGCAGTAGTCTGTTGGGGGGGGGATGCTTTTCGTAACTCTCGAAACCAAGTTTCTGATGCATATAGAAGAATTAGCCGACTTGACATTGGTGTTGAAAATTTGGATTTTGTGTTCTTTGAGCTAGAGAGTGCAGAAGATTTCCAAAAATTGATTTCAGAGTGACGAGGGTGTATCCTGCCCTTCCAACTCTGGTTTTGCTACCCTAATCCTTGGAGTAGCCTGCAGTTGAAATGATGCTTCCTAGATAAGTGAGGGGAGGAAGTAATCTCTTTCCAATTCATTCCATTGATGGTGATTGGTGGTTATAGTGATATGTAGTCACATGATGTGTGTGTTGTTTGTTTTTGACAGTCTGTTATATTTTGCTATGTGTATATGGATCGATATTCCATTATAACTGACAATATGCTTTTTTCTGTCCACTAACTAAATAAACATGTATGACCTTGTCATCATATGACATTACAACCAATCATGGTAAGATGACTGTCTATTGGTTCATGTATATTAGCCATTTTCATATATACTTTGCATTGTACACTTTATATATATTTCTTATTCTCACGTTCGTACATTCGTACCATTCCACTCACACTCTTGTGTGACATTTATTTTTCCTTGTCTGGAAAATACAAGTATCATCGTAAATCTCGTGGTCTTCTGATTCCTCTCCTTTTGGGTCAGGACTACTAACTACTCGACGAGTACATAACATAATTGGTGACGGGGAAAACTCTAATAACTCACTTCGCAGCAGTACATAACATTGTTGTCAGCTTTGTTTGGTTATCTCTATGTTCACTTGAAGTCCTGTCTTCGTTGCTTCTTCAGCTAGTTTGTTGGTTTTTGCATGTAAGTCTTCCAGTTTGTGCGACATTAGACATGCATCATCCTCGAAATCCAGATCTTCTATAGTCCTCCAATGTATTTCTGTCTTGTCGCTCCCCGCACATAGTTTGTCGCATAATCCAGTCCACCCGAATTAGGAATATATCATCGGCGACAGCAGGCAGACAGCCCTGTCGTACTGCTCTGTTAACTTCAAAGACTTCTGCGAGTTTCCTGTTGTCTTACTGTGGACAAAATTAACTTATCGCTGATATTCTCTATACGAGTATTTTTAGTTTACAGGAGTTTGATGATACTGAGAGAAAACATAAATTAGGGAACTAGTAAAAACCAACAAAAAATACTGAACAGCTGCTTTATCTCCTCTCCCAGCTCACTAACAACGATTGACTTACGGGATGAAGTTGTTGTGAGAAGTCGTGACCAGATAGGAGGTTTACACAAATACTCGCTGATGATGACACTAGCTGCCGGTGGATCTATGTGTTCATGAAAAATTCCCATCTGAACATTGATAAAAACAAGAAAAGCGATTCAATGAAACGAATCCATTGACCATTCACACAGTCATTGGATTGAAATTGAAAGACCTATGAATATCATTTTGCGGTGGTGAATAGATGCCCCCCCCTTTCCGTGAATTCATTCTCCTCTCTAGCCGTACATTCGCATTTACATACAATTCCCTTTTCATGAAGGAGAGTAGTCACAAGCGTAGTTGTTAATATTAGACAATGTATAAAAGAAGTTGAATTAGTGTGTATTAGAATTGCGTAATAAGATGAATGATTTGATGAGTAATTTGTGATTAGGATCCCTACAGAAACGAAGGAAAATATTCAATTATATAAAAGAGTTCTAGAGAAATACCAAGAGTTATAAGAAGTTTGTAAAAAACAAACCAACAAAAATCGAGTTAGTAGAAATCAAGACTTTGTGCCAGCCTTCTCAGTTAGAAGTGGTTGTATGCATAGCTCCGATCCCTCTAACTAAATGGCTAAAGCTTCAGTTATGCAAATAAAATGCAAGCGTACTACCTTTAGCAAGTTATTCTTCCCCTTGTGGATTACTTTGAAGTAGGCGTTTATTGATATATTGGAATGACCAGTGTTGACAAGATGTTTGTTTACTGCAGTCCTTATGGAACTACTATCATCTTTTTGAAACTATGCTGTGGGATAGTGTTCGTGAATCATTTTTGGACAGGATACGCGTCGAATGACCACTGGCCTGATTACAACTCATTAAATTATTCATCTTATTACGCAAATCTAGTACACACTTATTCAACTCCTTTTTATGCATTCATTAATATTTACAACTATGCTTGTGACTACTCCTCACTTCTGTTACTACCCTCTTTCATGAAAAGGACATTGTATATAAAGTAGATTGTGCAGCTAACTAGAGAGGAAAATGAATTGACCGAAAAGAGGATTTATCTATCTATCGCAAAATGACAGAATTCGTGGGTCATTGATTTTCAATCCAATGACTGTGAATGATCAATGGATTCGTTTTGTAACCTGAAGGTGCTGGCTTTCATCCACCAATGTTGTCGTATGTACGTACGTACGGGTGAAAGAGTCCCCAGCTTCGGCTGGGACAGCTCTCCAGTATTCCTTGGTTTTCAGTTGTTCTTTGAACTAATCCTTCAGAGTGTCAGTTGTCTAGATTTCTCTAGTGTTGAGACATCAGCATATGATGAGAGCAGGCTGCTAGCCAATTGGTAGACATTAATCTACGTCAATGTCTAGGTCACTAATATTGGCCGTGAAAAAATATGAGCAAGGCTGATTCAACAACCAATCACAGCAAATTTAACGTGGGCAAATATGATTCGCAGATAGATGACTCCACTTTTCGATGGTTACCCGAAACAACCAATCAGAAGACTGCGTTCGTCTACTTGAATAAGCTATGATAATGTACAGGAAATATTTATAAATACGTGCTGATTTCCGTAATAAAATAATCTGTTGCCTGGCCGTTGTCTTCTGTTGTTACAAGCATCCTATACTGAGGAGATTTCGTTTATATGCAAGAAGAATAAACAATGTGAAGTAATGAGTCTATCGACTAACCCATAACTTCTTTTGGAAAAAATATCCTGGATAGTGCTGCCATCAGACGTTGAAACTCTCTGTTTAATTGAGAAACAGTTGTAGTGCATAGTGGGTGTTATCAATTTGTCTTGTTTATTTTTGTTTTATTGTCTATGGTTAAGTGTTTCATTATTTTACAATTTCAGGTATCGCTATGGAAGATTTATACTGGCGTTGTAGAGATGCTTTTCTTACAAGTAATGAGACAACATTAAAAGCACAATTGACAGAATTTCGTGATCATAAATTAATTAAAATTAAAAAGGTTAGTTTTGTTATTGTTATCGTTTTCTTGATTGATTTGTATCGTTTAACTCTGTTACAACCGTTTATTCATCCTTATCCCCTTATTGTTTTGTTATCAAGAATACTGAATAAATAACAATGCTGGGAGTCAGTAGATATTGGTCTTCCTCTCGAAATCCTCTTATGTGGCTGTGCGTCCATAGTCTCTGTTAGATAAATTCTATTTTATGCTTTCCCGTTGTGTGTGTGTGTGTGTGTGCGGGGGGGGGATTGTTCCTCACAAAGGGAAAACGATGAATGAGAATGGCTGGTGCTTACAAACGGACTGATGGACATGCAGGTATATCCAGAGGAAATGGAAAATTCTTATTTCAAACCTATGATGTATGAACCTGGTTTGACCATCAGAAACCATGCGTACGCTTGTCGACGGCCTTTTGGATCAGACTTGAAGTCAAAGGTTCCAGATGAAGGTGGCCCCTTTAAGACCATCAATTGCTTCGGTCCGGGTAGTATTTCGACCTTCTGCTGCTCTTAATTTTATCGATGTACTTCACTGTCTGTCTGTCTGTTTTCGACATAGAACTTTGCACAAATGTGCGCCAGTTCAAGTCGCCACACTCCGTATAGCACGCGAAGCAAGAGAAGAAAGTACAAAAAAAGCATAATAGAAACAGTGAGCAGAGTTGTGAGACAAAGGAATAGTAGTAACGAAGAACAAAACAGTTTCATTGGAAATCATAAGTCACAAGGAGTGGATTCATCTGCGCCAGTCATTAAGAACGATCACTTTGAGCCATGTCACCAATTGTTTCCAACCATTGATTTTTACCGTCTCGAGGACCCCAACCAGTTAGGAAGTCTACACCTTCCTACGTGGCTTAGACCAACTGTTGTGGATTTCATTGACTGGTGAGGCCAAGTTTTTGTTTGACCGCCGCTAGCTTTTTTCCAGCCTGACCATATATCCGCTAACATTGCTCGTCGAGGGAGGCGATGGCTTGTCATACGTAACACATGTCCTAACCATCTCAGTCTTTGTAACTTCACGACTTCGTCGATTGATTTCCCCTGTTTACCTAGCCACCGATGCCTAACTTCAATGTTGCTCACCTTATTATGCCACTTTACACGGGAAATAAAGTGCAGGCACCTATGATCAAAGACAGCTAGCCACGCTTTTCATGTCTTCCACTCTCAGTGGCCAGGTCTCACTCACAGCCATAAAGGAGGACGGAGCAGACTGATGAGCAATACACCCGCCCTATGGTCGATAGTCGAACATCTCGTCTACGCCAGAGTCGGCGTAAACTGGCGTAGACATGGCTTCATAACTTGCTT